CCCTAAGCAGTCGAGCTCCACTTTTAGTGGAAGTACGCCGCACAGCATGAAGAAGACTCCCTTTTCCAAGCCCTTCTCGAGAAGTTTCTAAAATCTCAAGCCCTCTTAGGCTATTACGGTCAATAGACATGGCCTCATCTAGATGCTTGCGGCGTGGCGCTTGAAGTTTCATCTTCACTCCCTGCGTTTGAACTTGGACATATTCCAGCAATATATTACAAGCCGCTGTTTCTTCCGCAGTGAACGTGGAAGCCACCTCAGGAGGTATTGACGACTCAAAAATGGAACCCCACTCTGATAAAGTCCTCATCTCACTTTCACAACAAAACGAAGTTATCAGATGCTGCTTATCTTGTCCGACAACAGCTTGTAGTTCTTGTCTAATTTTTGCTCCAACATTCTGATCTATCACTATCTCCCTGGCACTGATCCTGGCTAGGGCAGAGGGTAGCATTTGTGCAGTGGTCTGCTGGGTAAAGAAGTCACCCGTTGATAAGTCTAGCCAAGAGAGGCCAATGGGTTGCGAAGAGGAAATAGAAGAATGCTGTTGCGGTGACACTATTTCCGTATCTTCTGAGCGAACTGTGGCTAGATATATTGAGAGTAGAAAGTTATTCTCGTAAGGATCCATAAATTTCTCGTCTATCAATGTTCCTGGCGTAACGATTCTAGCGACTTTACGGTCGAATTGCAAACCCCCGGACTTCGCTTTACCAACAACATTGTTGGCAAATTCCTCACTAATGGCAACGTATTTGTTAAAGTCCTGGACGAGTATTTTGAGAAAACGATCCAGTTGGAAAAAGGGAAATCCAGCCATTGGCACAGCTCCCGCGCTTGTTTTCTTTTGGGCGAGTTTCAAATTCAACAGCGTAGCGTATTCCTCGGCTTGTTCAAAATAGAGCTGTAATAAGAGTGTACAAATCACTACTAGTTTTTCAACAGGTCAGGGAAATAGGCAACATACCTCGTAAAAGTTCCCTACTCTCGTAAGCAGTACACAGTTTTTAAACTTTAGCATATTGTTTTTGGCCCCCTGTATCACCGTTGGATACTGAGGAGCATCGTCAACGGAAAGAGGATATGGCTCCATTGGCTCTAAGCGTCCTTGTGGAAGATCCTGAAGTTTGACTGTAGATTTCGCTTGCGCCGCGATTGAGCTCCAGGGGAAGCAATCCCCGGC